CCGGCCGCCACCCATTGGCCGCGCGCGCCGCCAGTCACGCGCATGTAAACACCTTGGCCCTCAGCCATTCCTATAAAACCAATTACGGACCTGGGGGCTCCAGCAGTTTCCAGGCTCCCCTCGGCGGGGCTGAATGATCAAAACTGGTGGTGAGAATTTTTCCGGGCCGTTTCTAGGCAGCCCTCCCCCTCCACCAGCTCCGACAACCCCCCTTCTCCTCCTCCTCCCTTTTCCTCCCCCTCCCCCAGCGTCTGGGCTTAGTGATCAAAATAGAGGAAGATGGTTGTCGCCGCAATCCTGGGCTTTGCAAGGCGCGGTTTAATGGACCGCCTGTCAGCTTCCTGCTCGCAGGAGGAGGTGACAAGCCGAGCGAACCGGGAAGGGCCCGGGGCCCAGCAGGCTGCACCCCGCGCCCGGGCTCCGGTCCCCCTCCACCCCGGGGACGCGACTTCTAGAACGCGCGGTGACGACGCCAAAACAGACTAGGGCTGCTTTTTCCTCCCGCCCCCCCCCCTTTAAAACAAAGCAGCGATTCATCCCCTCTCCCCCCAGCAGCGCGGTTAGGTAGGATGGGCTGGCGAGAAGGTCGCTTTCCTAGCCCAGGCCTGCGGGTCCCTCCCTGAAACGCGGTGTCAGATGGTTACTGATTAATATTTTGGCGAGGCCTCGGCGGCCGGCAGCGGGTGAGTCTCTAATCTTCTAAAAGGGGTTCCTATAGAAACGCGGGTTGGGGCGCGCTCCCCCCACGGCCCCGGCCGGGGCTGCTGCTCAAAAAAGCGCCCCTCCCCAAAGCCTCTCTTTGCGTGGGCACTCCCCACCTATTCCCTCCCCCACAAAAAAAAAATCAGAGCAGAAAAAAGGATTAGATCGGCTGAGCGCGAGCTGACTCCCTCTTGATTCTGACATTTCAGCCTATTAGCATTTCTCCACGGGGCCTTCTGAAACCTATTAAAGTGTAATATTAAAAACCTCTTGGCTGGGGGCCTCTCTCGCCTTCCATCCGCCGCGCCCCCTCCAGGGAGGGTGAAACCGGGGGGGGAAAAAATCTGTTGAGCTCAGAGGAAGCAGCAGCCAAGCCCAAAAAGTGCTTGGCTGGCCGCGGTGGCCTGAGGGGGAGGGGAGCCTCAATCCCCCAGACTTCGTACTTTTGTTTTGCGCTTTCAGCAAAATCCTTTCTGGTTTGAGTCGCCGGGAGCTGCCCGCGGCAACCTACTTGGCTGCTGGCGTGAGGAGCGCGGATGCGGCGCGTCGGAGGGACCCCGCACCCTCCGCACCCGCGGGGACGGCCAGGCATTACGTACCCTCAATAGGAAGCTGGGAAGGGCAGACGTCCTAGCCGCTCCAGCCTCGGCGAGCTACCGCGGTGATTGGATTTTTTTATTGGGTTTTAATTAAAACAAGAGGACCCCGCTCTTCCCCCCCCCCACCCCCCGCACTGCGGACTCAGCGTTTGGCGTTGCCTGTTCTATTTTTTTAAATAAATTTTTAAGGCAACTTTTCTTGGGAGAGGGGGGAATTAGCTAGTTAGCGCCCATTAGTTCTATTTTCTTTTATCCACTTTTAGAAAACAAGAGGGGTGAGCGTCCAGAGCTAACTGGGGCTGTCTAATTTAATTCCAGAATAAATTTGGGGGAAAAGTTCAGCCCCTTGAGGACAGTTTCAAGTTGCCCTTCCCGAAGCCTCCAGCGCTGGTTTCTAGGCTGCCCTCTTTTGGAAGCAGAAGCTCCGCGGGGGGAGGAAGGAGGGGTGAGAAGGAAAGAAGAAAGGAACGAAAATAGCCGAATCCGAGGGGAACTAGCGGCGGTGTCCTCGCTTGGAGCAGGGCGCACAGGTCTCGGTGGTGGCCGGGCAGCCCCGGGCAGCCAGGAGCAGAGACGGAGAGGAGGGGGTGAGGGGAGAGAAAGGAGGTATTGTGTCTGTGTTCCTTGGAGGAGGGGGATGGCTGCAGAAATAAAATAAACGCAGTTGTGCTGGCGAGGCTGCTGGAAGCCCAGGCAGGGGAAGGGGCCGAGCGCGGGGGCGCAGCCCTGGTGGGCGCCGAGCGTCCTCCAGTCTTATCCCGAGGCCTCTGTGGGTTCCTTGTAAACCCCCCCACGCCAGAGCCCCGTCGCTTCCCCACCCCTCGGGTTGCCCTCCAATATTCGGAGCTCAGACCCCGCTTCCCCTCACCCCTTGTCTCCGCCCAGGTCTGGAATGTTTTCTTTTCTTTTAATATAGCGCAAGGAAAAAAATGTGTCTTGAGAGCCGGGGTGGGGATCACAAAGCGCTCGCAGGGTGGAAAATAACAAAGCCTATTTTTATAAATGTTTAATGTTTTCCCCCCTGGATGCTCCAAGACGCCGTAATTGTGACGGCGGGGCATGTGTGCCATAAATCATTTAGTTGCTAATAAAAATTCTGCCTGTTTGCCCTGGATTTGCCAATGGCGTCTGCATTTTCCAAGTGTGCGCCTCCTCGGCGTGGCCAGCCGAGCCTGCATTTCATTAGGGCCCTGGTTCGGGGCGGGCGAGGCCCCCTCCCCCAGCCCTTCTTCCCAAGCCTTTGTGGACCCCGGCCCCTGG